GAGTTTTACATTAGCCACTGACGGTTAATGGAAATGTAATCTTGTATTTAGTTCTCATAATAACAAATATGCTAAACCGTTAGGGCGTTTAATTAATTGAGGGAAAACCAGTGTACGTCAGAAGAGGTCGTAAAAGAGAAATGAAAGTTGATTTTCAAATAAATATACAGTAAATTCTAGGCCAGAGGTTTCTGTTAGTGGACCTCAGACCCTTAGAAGTGGCAAGAGGTAGGTAGGTTGCTGAGTTGTAATTGCAAAAGACAATGAGTTAATACGTTTCATTAAACATTGTCTAAAGGGAGATAATATCAATATTTCATATATGTGCACAACTATTTTCCAAGTATGTGAAGATGTTTGATTAATAAAATACAAATTGTTTAAAAAAGTACCATTCATAGTAGCTTTAAATCATCATTCATTGTTTCAGAGTATAAATAGTGAAAACACAGTAATTCTGTTTTTGATGTTCAGAGGGCATTCTTAAAATTCAGGGCATTGGAAACTTTCTGTGCTAGGATAACAATTGATTTCTCTAGTTTATAACTAATGATTAGGTTATGATATATAATACAAGGCCTGCAATGTGAAGTATTGTAGAGATGATGCTGTTTTGCAATTTTACCAAAAAAATTGTGCTCTGAACATTGGTCTATAACAACATTTTCTATATGAGCAGTGGTGTTTATATATTTTTCTTTTGCTAGACTGAACTTTTTAGGGGAAGAGAATAGATCTTACCACTGTATTTCTCTCTCTTTTTAAAAAATCTTTATTGGAGTGTGATTGCTTCACAATACTGTGTTAGTTGCTGTTGTACACCAAAGTGAATCAGCCATATGCAGACGTATGCCCCCATATCCCCTCCCTCTTGAGCCTCCCTCCCGTCCTCCCTATCCCACCCCTCTAGGTCATCTAGGGAGGGCAAAAAGCGTTATGCTGAAATGTTAAGTGAATGAATGAATGAAAAAAAATGTGTTTGCATTTAAGGTTTTGAAATAAAACAGTCCTAAAAATTAGCTTTTATTGTTCTTTCTTTTGACACAGTCTGGAGACTTATCTTATTTGTTAGGAATGAGAGTGGATTTCCCTTAGTCCTAAACCATTGGATTGGTCTTCTATGGACTAGGGCAAGGATTTTTGAAGAGCCAGGGCTTTGGGGGCTATGAGTAATGGTCCTGAAGGCAAGCTAAAGGAGTGGGATGTTAACTATTTGAACCCCTATCCTTTTTTTATTTTGGGGGGTGGCCCCAATTTCTGTTTTACCACTAGTTGTTTCTTATCCAGGTCTCTTCCCTGACATTCTCTAGAACTTTATTACTGGAAGGGTGATCACCAGACCAGCAGCACACTGGTAGTCTTGGGAGCTTTTTAGAAATGCTGAATCTCATGCTTCACTCTAGGCCTGCTGAATTAGCATCTTTATTTTAACAAGATCCCTAGAAGAGTGTATGTTCATTACAGTTGAGATGTGCTAGTCTAGAATACATTCTCCAACTTTTTCAAGACCTAAATTGTTATTTTTTAAATGCCCAATAAAAAGGGTAAAACTGTTTTCAACTATTGTCTTTTTGTGCTGTTTATTTAGATTTTGTGAAGAATGATAAAAATCAGTTTTGTAGTGAATCTTGAGACTTAAAGTAAAAATTATATATATTAGAGAGAGAGAAAAAATAGTTACATGTTATGCTGGATATTTTACCACAGGAACAAAAAGAGAATGGGAATTTTGATGTACAATGTTGACTTACTAGGAGGTGGAGCAGACAGACTGGTTACTTACCAACAGGACACGACTTTGCAAAATACTTCTGTTTCATAATAACCAGCAGGCTGGACTGGCAAGGAGGCTGTCAAGAGTGGAGGCTCAACCAGGAAACATGCCTTTTTTTGACCAACACATTCTCAAGATTGGTTTAGGAAGGGATTGCTGGAAGCTAAGGGGAAGGGAAGAGGGCTTGTGCTTTTGTTTGCTCTGGAGAAGGGGTTTGGATCTTGTAGGACTCAGAAGGCTTTGGGGAAAATAAACATTTCCCATAAAATTTTGTTTGCCCTTTATTTCCTCACCTTCCATTTGACTTCTCTATTTCCCTTAGACCCTACTGTCATTTAATCACCGATAGTTGTTTTTAAGCTAGCAGCTCTTTCCCCAGCCACGCCTTCGCCTTCTATTTGCATTGCAGTTTCCTGGAGTTCCCATCCTTCACCTACGCCTGTAATTCTCAGGTGCGGACAGTTTTGTCCCCCAACTCCTGCAGAACATCAAACATATTTTTGGTGTCACGACCAGGGCAGATGCTGCTAATTGTCCTGCAGTGGCCCAGGACAGCCCTCCACAGCAAAGAATTATCCAAAGTCTGTAGTGCTGCGTTTGGGAAACCCCAACCTGGATTATCGTCAGACCATTGATTTATCTACCTATTTCCAGTTTAATTCTCATTCACAAGTTTTCAAGAGTTCCCCATTGCCCATGGAGTGAAGTCCAAACTCCTTGGCATAGGATACAAAACAATTCATGGTTTTTTATTGCTTTCAGGCCTCATCTTTTGCTTTCAAGGTTGGCCCTCTACTAATGATAGACTGAAAACTTGTAGTTTTCCCTTAATTGACAGCAGAGTGCCTGTATGCCTCTACGTGTGCGTTTTTCCTAACCCACAAATACATCTTTCTCTCTCACTCACTCTGGTTTTGTTTGGTTTGGTTTGGTTTGGTTTCCTATCTAGACACTTCCTTTAACACTGCTCAGGCATTCATCCTCTCTATGAAGCCTTCTTTGCCTCTGTTCAATTGGTACCTTGATTATATATGCATTTTTCATATCACAATGAGTGTGTTCTGTTCACATGACTTTGTTAACCACTAGGTTATGTCCTCTTTCAGAGGGAAAGGTGTGTGTTTTATTCATCATTGCATTCCAAGTACTTAGAACAGTTCTTGATACAAAGTAGGCTCTCATGTTTAGTTGAAAATACATTTTTCCTTCAAGGAATAAATAATAGTTCAGATAATTTGGAAATTAGCTTTTACATGAGATTTTACCATAATTTCCATTCTGTGCAATGAGACTTCTGTCTGTAATCTTTTTGGCTCACCATCATGCTCTGTGTTGCTGCCATCTCTTTTCAGATGTCATTTGTCTTCTGTTGCTTATAATGGTATTTAAATGGTATTGATGCCTTAGGTCTTTTCATTCAGTATCACATAAAAGTTTTACTTTTGGTTTGGACTTTACTCTCTGGCTATTTATTGAAGAAACTTAAATCTGTAGCGGCACAAGTTTGGGGATCTCTTCTACCTAAGAGGAAAGGTCTTGGGCTAATTATAGGTTTTGGGGGTGATGGGGAGGAGGGAGAGGAATAATGAATTCCTTTCTGGAAAAACAAACATATAATGAGAGCTGCTGGGGCGGGAGAATTATACATTGGATTTATTTAAAACCTTTTTTTTCTATGTTGCTTAATGTACTACCATGAGAATAAATTTCACTAAGGTAATAACTGGCTCAGAAACAAGTTTGGATTTGTGAAGGCTCTAAATAACAGAAGAACATTTAAAGCAATAATTTTCTTGCTTTCAAATGTATGACTAGAATTTAGGTGTCCTTATATATATAGAACCTATTTGACATGTTGTGATTTTGTTTAAATAAATATTCTTTGATGTGTTGAACTTTTTTGATAGGATCATCTTTAGCCCAGACGTTTTCTAAAATATAAATTTTAAATTAGTGAAGGCTTAATTAAGGCTATATTATTTTTGCTATATGTCAGAGCCTTATAGTTGTGAGCTATGTTATTAAAAATAACTTGCTTTAACATTTTTCATCTGTAATTTGGTTCTAAAGGGTATATTTCTGTTCTCATTCACAAAAGTTGCTTGTGATGTAGACACAGAGAGTAATTGAATTGGTTCAAGATTGCATAGAGGTGGAAATATTTTAGCTTCATGAAACTTTACCCACTGCTATAATTATTGGATAGATGGGTAGTCTAGTTTCCTTTCTTATGCAAGTTTAATTTTTGAAGAATGTTAATTTCAACTATTTGCTTCAGCAGTCTTAAGGCAGAACAGTGAGTAAACATAGATTTTCTTATTTTAGATCTTAAATTAGATACCTTTCCAAGAATGTATCAGTATTCCTTAAAGGGAAAAAATATATACAAATTCCCTTTAAGATGCAGTTTAGTACAAATTTGCTATAATTAATAGAAGTAAAATGGTGGAAACTGTTCATTAACCTTCATGTATAAAAAAATCCCTGCCAACCACTTTTAAAATTGTTTACTAACTTTACTATAATATTAGCCAATGAATCTGTGCTTTTATTAGGCTACTTAGTATCAATCTGTTCAAATTACTGAGATTTATAAGACCAATGAAATTTGTGTATTTTTTTGTCTGAGATTGTTTTTCATTGAGTACAAGTTTCACTGAGTACAATGCCTGTTTAAGATAGATCAATTTGTACTCTGCCCTAATGGGCATAGAATTTTAAAAATTAAAAAAAAATCCATTCCTTGAAATTAGCTGCTGCTTCTAAGTGGGGTGGTTCTCAGTAGGAAATAAGGTAGTGGGATGGGGAGCAGAAAAAGATATAGTGTGAAGAAATTTTTTTACCTGTATTTTGTGCCCTTGAAGCCATTTCTTCATATTGCAGTGAGAATAGGTAAGTGCCAGTGGAAAAAAATTTGCAAAGCATTTACTTTGCTGATAAGTTAATTTCTGTTCACTAAACTCAGATTATAATGTATTTCACTAAAACAGTTGTTGTTTTATGTAATACTGTTGTTAGGACTATGGGTTATTTTGGAGGTGTGTGTGTACTGGGGGTGGGGATGGGGAATGGGGGGTGGTGCTAAGGACATTAGAGGGAGTGTCTTAGAAATTTTACTTGTTTCCTATTCCACCATTCTTGGTATCTTCTGTATGTTAGTTATGTTAGCTTAGATTAGTATGGGGGATGTTAGGAGTGGCCTGGTTTCTTTCCTTCTTTTTCCTAGCCAAGGAAGTATCGCCTGGGGATGCTGGAGGAGAGGCTAGTTCCGATGGGATCAAAGGCACGAAAAGCAAAGAACCCTATTGGCTGCCTTGCTGACAGGTGTAAATCAGGAGTACCCATCAATATGGTTTGGTGGAACAGAATCACAGAAAACAATATACAGGTAAAAATAATTTTATTAGACATTTTTGAAAAGTGAATATTTTGGCTGCTTTCTGTGTCTGTGTGGGGTGGTGTGTATGAGATTGGATGACTTAGCTGATACACTTAGGTTTTTTGTTTTCTTGTTTTTTTTTTTTTTAAATCAAAGTAAGATTAGTGGCCCATTCACTAACTAAATGATTTTGTTTTGTGGCTTTTTTTGAACTTTCTCTGCTTGTAGTATATTTTCCTATTCTTTCGTTTAATTTAGTTTTTGCCTTTTGGATTTTGTTTATAGTTAAGTTTAATTATTTTTAATACACAAAGTTATACTACATTAAAAAGTCATATAAAATTTATTACAGAAAATCTCATTTATTTGGAGTCTGAGCAATAGAAAGCTCCACATGTTGTCTTTTTGTACATTTTTACTAGGAGATAAAAATTGTGTGTAAACTTGTCAAGTGTTGGCTGTAAAACCAACTTCAATAGTATGTTGTCTTAGAGTTATTATACATTTCAGTCTTTGCATTATCTGTGCTAATGAAAATGAATTTTTATAACTCAAAGGCTAGCTTTTGTATGACTCTGAATCTGAAGTACTTACAAAATAATTTGAATTATATTCTATTTTAATTTGGATTATAATTATTATAGTCTCATTTAAAGAAATTGGTAATTGTATAATAAAATAGCTCTGTTGACCAAAATTTCAGTTTAGTTGGAAGTAGAATATCTTTCATCCCAAACTTTCTGAGTGCATTGGTATTTTTTTTAATATATTGCTAGCCAAAAGCCTGTAACCTCACATACACATATCACACACAGAAAAGATATAACGGAGTCAACAACTTGGTTTTATTTCTGTCAGCAACTTTGTATTATGAAGGGGTTCCACAGTATTTTGGTCTGTTTAGTGTTAATGCCGTAGCAGTATCTGTGTTACCTTGGGCACAGAAATAAAAAAAGTTATTCCCAAAATACTGCGAAACATGTTATTTGTCTCAACTGAAAATTTCATAGTATTTTTCTAAATATAAGGAAAAACAGGGAAATGGAGGGGGCTGGTCCACATAATCAAATACTTAAAATTTCCGTGGAAAGTTTGGGATATGTCCATTATGAATAAGAATTCATAATGGACATATCCTTTATGAAGGATGTTTACTGAATTCTTCTTTTTGAGATCAGGAGAGAAGTTTGATGTGGATTGTTAGAATTATTTTCCAGTTTTAAAAAGAAAGTCTGAAAATAAATTGGGCTCCAGTTACGTAAGGACAGATACAGGTGGAAGTGAAAGTGCATGTAGGGTGCAGGGGAAACACGGATGATGCAGAGGTACGGCCACTTGACCGCCCCCCGCTGTCCCCCGTATCTCAAGGGCGGTTTCAAGGTACTTCTCTTTAGCATAGCTTGAAAAATCATTAGGTTCGTTTAAAGAATATATGCTAGGATTATGCTTTATTTTTAATTAAAAAGCTAATAATAGATTTGCATTCAGTGTGCTAAAGATTGAATTGATGCTATCTGAGTCTAATATTTCAGATACTGATATTATTTTGTGTTTCAGATAGTTCAAATAGTTCTTTTTTAAGGATGTAAGGAATGACTTATTAGCTTGATGTGATGTTGGAGGGGCAAGAATGCCTTACGCTATCAGTCATGTGTTGAAGCATTGAAAAATACCCACCCGGTGTCCGTTACTGTCTTTGCGGATTCCTGAGTTGGGTACCTGGTATTGTTTATTTAGAGCAAAGATTATGTCAGTGCAATTTTCTTTTCTATTGGGGTTTTTATCTTTTTGTTGTATGAGAAAAGTAACTTATATAAGTCAGTTCTGTACCTATGCTTTTAAATTTTGTATACGTTTACCTTCAAATATTTTAAAGATTTTTCACATATAAAAATTTTAAAGGATTGTGTAGCCAGATATATTAATCTTTCCTGTTTCATTTGTTTCCTTTCATTTAAAGCTTAGGTCTTCTCAATCCTAAGGTTAGAAAAAAATTTATCTATATTTTATTTTAGTGATTATAGCTAAGTTTCTTAAATGGTTACCTTGTGCCACGCACTGTGCTAAGTTCTTTACATGTATTGTCTCTTTTGGTCTCTTATGGGACAGTTGTTATTGTTAAATGAAGAAACATCTTCAGAGAAGCTAAGTAACCTTAAGTTTAAATGGTAGTCGGTGGAGGAACAGAACTTTGAACCCATGTTTGTCAGGCTTCAGGATCTCTTCACTTCTGTGTAACATAGTTCTAGTTGTACTAGAGCTATGATTGATGTAATTGTCTAAATGGTTAACTGAACTTCTGTAGGACAACTTTTTTTGAGGATGAGAATGGGTACGTAGTTTTCCAGACATGGACTGTAGCTTATGCATAACTCCACAGTATTTGTAAGGTCAGTCTTTTTTCCTCATGATTCATCTTTCTTTTTTCTCAGTGACATTTAACTGCCTTTCTTTCTGGAACTTTAAATATTTGTTTACACTGATTTCTTAATCTTGACCTAACATCTTTTTGGAAAACAAATTTTGGAAAAACAAGTTTTTCCACTTCTGAAAACAAAACAAAAAAACCCAAGCAAACAACTAACAAAAACCTTAAAACAACAGCAGAAATTTTCTCTGAAAGTTTCTACCTGGATCATTCATAATTGCATTTATTCTCTTCAGTGCTGCATTTCTTTCAAGAGCCCTATGATTCCCAGCCTTTTAGTACTTAATAATCTTTTTATTTATTTTCTACCGAGAATCTTTTGATATGAAAGAGGCTGGCTACTGAACACAGGACATTTGTAAAACAGTGATTCATGCTTTCATTTTAAAATATATAATATGCTAATTAGAGAATCAAAGATATTTAATATTTTTCTTATATTGTAGAGGTAGCTTGGTGGAGGCCACATTTATTTTTCATATGGCTGTTTGAAATATTGATCATACCCATCTGGTCTCCATTACTACTTCTGTGGAGTTCCCACTTGGGGACCCTTGAAATAGATTCTAGTCTTTTCTCTGATTTCTTTACAACCCATTTATTCCTTCAGTGCTTGGAGTTTGGTGTTATCAAAAATTTTGCTGGAAACAAATCCCAAAGCTTGTCAGAGGTCTCCTGAATCACCAAATCCAACAGTTTTATCCAGTACTTAATGCTGGCTGGCCACTTTTTTATTTGAAGCTCTTTCCTCATGCATTCTTGTTTGTTTGTTTGCTTGCCTATTTATTTATTTATTTATTTATTATTGGCTGTGTTGTGTCTTCATTGCTTTCTCTAGTTGTGGCGAGCGGGGGCTACTCTTTGTTGAGGTGCGCGGGCTTCTCATTGCAGTGGCTTCTCCTGTTGCAGAGCACGGGCTCTAGGCACGTGGGCTTCAGTAGTTGTGGCACACGGGCTCAGTAGTTGTGGCTTGTGGGCTCTAGAGCACAGGCTCAGTAGTTGTGGCGCATGGGCTTAGTTGCTCCGCGGCATGTGGGATCTTCCCGGACCAGGGCTCAAACCCGTGTCCCCTGCATTGGCAGGCGGATTCTTAACCACGGCGCCACCAGGGAAGTCCCCACCACGCATTCTTGACTCTGTTTCATCCCTGCTTTTTGTGAGCTCCTGTTCTTGACTCACTTATTCTTTGCTTTCCTGTGTATGCCTAAGATTCTTAAATTTTTATTTCTCTTAAAACTGTCTTCTCAGTTCAAGACCCAAATCTTTCATGCCTCTGGTATCTTTGCATGTAGATGTATATCCCTCTATCACTACAAAGTCTAGAACTCAGTGTATTTTTCTCTTCTCCAAATCTACTGCTTCTTTTATATTCTCTTTATATTCCTTCTTTAGTTAATGGCTTTATCATCTTCCCAGTCACTGAGAGTACATAGCTTCATTTCTTCCCTGTCTTCTCCCATATTCTACCATTTATTATGAAAAGGAAACTACTGAGGTTTGACTACCCATTAATTGAAAGATGATACATTGGACAATTTACATTTGCCATCATATTAAGGCTTTACCACAATAGTGACATATTATCCCCATTTGAAAAATATGGAAATTGCAATTTAGACAAGGCTTATTGTTCGTATGTGATAGAGCTGGGATTCCAGATCTATTAAATTTTATATCCTGAGATTTTCCTGCTATATTGTCTGCCTCTAATCCCTATTCTTCAAAATTCCATGGTATCTTTTTATCCTTTCCTTTCCTTTTCCTTTCTTTTTGTTTTTAAACATAACTGACATATATACCCTCAGTGTATCTTCTGAATAATTTTTGTCAAATCCCTTCAGGATCTGTTCAGCCTTTCTAGGGCTATCTCTCTTTAACTGTGCACACGTACTAAATTCTAATCATATGGAATCTTTCATACCTCATATAATATGAAATACATTGTCAGTTCTCTGTACCTTTTTATCTCTGTACCATTGTTAATTGAGCCTAAAAAACTTTCTTCCCTTTTCCTTTTTAAAATTTATTTTTATTTAATTTATTTTTTTTGGCTGTGTTGGGTCTTCATTGTAGCATGTGGGTTTTCTCTAGTTGTGGCAAGCGGGGGCTACTGTTCTCTGCGGTGCACGGGCTTCTCATTGCTGTGGCTTCTCTTGTTGCGGAGCACAGCCTCTAAGCGTGCGGGCTTCAGTAGTTGTGGCTCGCAGGCTGTATAGCGCAAGCTCAATAGTTGTGGTGCACGGGTTCAGTAATTATGGCACACGGGCTTAGTTGCTCCGTGGCATGTGGGATCTTCCCGGACCAGGGCTCGAACCCATGTCTCCTGCATTGGCAGGTGGATTCTTAACCACTGCGCCACCAGGGAAGTCCCCCCTTTCCTTTGAGAGTAGCTCAAATGCAACCTTTTCTGTAAATACCTGCTCAAACACCTCAAAGAAAAAAAAAGTTTTCTTTTTTTACTCTTTTCACAATACTTAATGTTATTTCATTCTGTCTTATATTGGTTGTTTACCTGTCTTTTCCAACTGAATTGTAAATATGTGTGACTAGGCATGTGTTGTTTATTTTTGTACCCTAAAGG